CAGCCTCCGCGGTCTGTGCAATCAATTTGGTTGTATCTGGGGAATCATGGTTGCAGTGCTAGCCGCTGCGTCGAAATTCAGCTTCGTGGGACTGTCTCCAAGCGGCTGGTAGAACAACAAGGCTAAATGAGTTTGTTGCCTTTAACGGCAACCAAAATGGCGCCCGCGACTGCCTCTGGCTGCCTGAGGAGTCTCCGACGGTCTGAATTCCAATTTGAGTTCAGACCTGCAGCCAACTTAGAACGCTAGAAATAATGGAAAAAGGAAGGGGGAAGCAATAAATGGATGCGTTCCTAGCGGCCCCCTATGAGTTTTCCCCAGAGCCCTGGGGAAGGAAATTAAGAGAGCTGTTGAAACGCAAACCTCCTCCCCCCACACACCCCTCAATAACAATGGAATTAGTATTGTGCTTGTGGGGAATTTGTTAAAGGGATTCCAAATATTGTTTGTTTAAATTTAAGTCAAAATAAGGGAAGGAGAATTCACCAATGGAGTTTTCTAACCTGCTATCTGCTGAGAGCCAAACCTGATACGTCTTCAAGAGCTGAGACCAAGTTAAGACTGGATCTCCTAGCAAGAGGGGGCGTGTCAAGTTTGGCTACTTGGTCTCAAGAGCAGGCAGGCAGAGAAAATCCATTGGTGGATTCTCCATCTCCTGTACTGGAGAATATATGTAAACAGGTTGCAGAAGACACCCTTCAGCTGGACTTACTTATTTTTCAGTGGCTATATATATCTTTTCAGTTGTATTAGGCAAAATTCCGACAAAGTTCTTCTATACCAGTGGTTCTCAATCTTTCTAATGCTGTGACCCCATAATACAGTTCCCCGTGTTGTGGTGACCCCCAGGGGTGTGGCCAAGTGGGTGTGGCCACCAATAAGAGGGAGTAGGACAGCTAAGGAAAAGGGAAAAAAATGGCGGACAGCGTGGTTTGGCGACCCCCGTGAAATGGTCGTTCGACCCCAAATGGGATCCCGACCCACAGGTTGAGAACCACTGTTCTATACATATACCAGGAAAAAGCAATCATAGCATAACTAATAATAACAAGAAATTATTTTTGTTGTTCTTGTTAAATGAAAAATTTAAGAGTTGCATTTAAGATATCTACTATTATGCAGCCTGGATATTTAGTATTCAGGGTCCCCAACTGCAGCCTGTTCAACAGATTTGGAAAAATTAATGTACTTAATACACACACACACACACACACACACACACACACACACATCAGTCACAATTTCACTGATACTCTGTAATATACTGCACACATAGAGTTTCAATGAAATGACAATACTGAGGATGTTCAGATGAGAATTCAGATCCATTTGCAAAGTAATTTGAGGTTGTCCTGTGATCAGTTAACCTAATTATGGGAGCTTCAAACTATGCTTGGTCTCTTTCTGTAAGAGATTTTGTTTGGAAAACTGTTTGGAAAGTATACATTTCTAACCAGCAATTGTCACTGTAGAAATGGGAGAGATTTGCATTTGGGATGAAGCTGAGAGATGGAATAAGGTACTTGTGGTTGGCTACAAGATGAACATTAATAGACTCTATTAATTTGTTGCTCAGGAAGAATAAATTACAATTACAATTGGCAAGCATTGCAGACCAGTGAAAGTGCCCAGTCTAGTTGCAACCTGGGTGCTAAAAGTTTAGAACAGCCCACATAAATTCTGTTTCATTTTAATAAAAAAAATCAGAAGTCTTGGGTGTGGGAATGACCTGTCTTTCTTCCATACATGTAATTTACTAGATCAAGTGAATTTACTTTTTATAGGGGAGATTTTTTTTTTAAAAAAAACCAATTTATAGCAGAAATCATATTGCTCAATTCTTATATCTGATTCAGCATAACCCATAGAATATTTGTATACACATAACTAAGGGTAGTTTAATGCAGATTGCACAAGAATTCAAATGTAGATAACAATTTTTAACTGGAAAGTGTATCGTGGATGAGCTCACAAAAGGACTGCCATGGAAAGTGTCTCTTCAAAAGATAGCTATCAAGAAGCATATGGCACAAGAGATAAGATTGATAAGGTAGACATAATTATAAACACCCTCCCACACAGACACAATTTTACTTACAAAGAATGCTTACAAAAGCCCATGCAAACTTTCCATGTATTTAACCCACTTAAAAATTAAATAGACCCCACAGTAGGCATCTATAGATAGGTTTAAACAAAGAGTAGAAGGAAAAACATGGTATCTTGGATGGACATTAATATTTCTTGAAGTAAAATCACTGAAAGAAATACTGTGCTATGAGCAAATGAGACTAATCATAGCCTTACACATTCATTAAAATTTTTGAAAAGCTGGTTCTACCATTACAGATAATAGGAACAGAGGGGATTCAATTAGCTTATATTCCAGAATTAGTATTATGGTGCTGTTACAAGTAGTTCTCACTTACTAAAAACACTTGGGACTGATAGCTCAGTCACTATACCACAGTGATTAAGTGAAATGTCACGTGACTGTGCCAACTTATGATGTCAGTTTGGGCTGTAGTAGTTAAGCAAATCATTGTGTGTCATTAAATGCAATGTCACATGACAGCAATTTGTGACTTCCTGCTCACTTCCCCATTGAATCTGCTTGCTGGTAGCCATCTGGGAAAGTTGCAAATGGAACTGTCCTGCAAGTGGCAGGACAGTGCATGTATCTCCACCTGCACAAACAACAGGCAAGCATGTGCATGCGCACTCCATTTGCACATGCAGCAGGTGCACATACCTGCACAAACAGGCAAGCATGTGCATGCGCACTCCATTTGCACATGCAGCAGGTGCGCATACTCACCGCTCACGCAGATAAGAGTTGTGCATGCATTTGCCTGCCGCTCGTGCAGAACCATCCCCTCCCTCCCCCACCGGTCTGCAAAGCCGAAAAGGTTGGAGAACTCTGCTCTAAGCGGTTTTACAAAGTCAGCTTATTGCCCCTAACAATCTGGGATCTCATTTTATTGACTTTGAAAAAATGGAAGTCCTGGCAGTCGTCAGAATTAACCTGCAATACTGCATTCTAACCATTGCCCCACCATGGCGAAGTCAATACATGGTTTAGTTTTGGCTTAACCTATTCTGTAAACCTGACTACTATGGCTTGTAAACTGTGATTAAGCAAATCTTAGCTTACTGTATCCAGTCTGATATTTTTCTAAATTTCATTTCTTTATTATGCTGAATTAATGAAAGAAAAGAAGAAGGTCCACAAGTAGACTTTCACAATGGCTGACAGGCTTCATGGAATAATATCTCTCATGAAGTCGGGAAAGAGATTAAATAACCCCCTACCAACTGTTGGACCAAATTTTGATCACATAACTATGGGGATGCAGCAAAAGTCATAAGTGTGAAAAATGGTCGTTAAGTCACTTTTTTTCAATGTCCTCATAACTTTGAATGGTCACTAAATGGCTGTAAGTCAAGGACTACCTGTATGCATATCCCCACACAGCTTTGACATTGGATCTGAGAATTAGAGGGTCAAAGATGATTGTCACTCTTAATTACTAGCTGAAATTCATATTTTTTCCAGCAAGAATAACTCTTAAGGTAACGCCAGTGTTTAATCTACATGAAAGATAGGCAAGCATCAGATAAAAACTATTTGTCTTTTCTTACAAAGAATAAGAGATGAACAGAAAAAGTATCAAAGGAAAAAATTTGAGATCAAAATAGCAACAAACTATTAATAGCATCAAGGTAACATGAGTCTAGGAGGTTGACTTTAGTATTGTAATAAGTGCCCTGTTTAGCAAACATTTGAAATTACAATGGTGCTAACAAAAGGAACTTTATGATTGGCATTTGCAACAATGACTATTGCAATGTCCTTACAGTCTCATGAAATTTGGGTGTTTTACATTTAGTGGACATTTGTAACTATTATGGTATCCCAGTCATGTGATCAAGATTCTGGTGCTTCACAGCTACCTTCTGAGAAGCAGTCAATGGAGAAGCTGGCAGTAAAATCACAAGTCATGGTCATGTGATGTCTTGCTTAATAAATGTGCAGAAGTCAAGTCATAAATCAGCACAGTCAAACATGATTTTTCACTTAAATGAACACAGCGCTTAGCAACAGACTTATCAATCTCAATTGTAATTGTTAAGCAAAGACTGCCTGTATTTACATTGAAGGGGTCTGTTTTCCATTGGAAAATCCCACTTCCTTCTGTTTCTCTTTAATCTGGCTTCCACTTGCCCTGATGGCAAGGCTAAGATAGAAGTTTTATTGTGAGGATATGTCCTCAATAACCAGCAACCAAATTGCCTCAGAGGCAGGAAAAGGAAGCTGTGGAGATGACGGAACTACTGTCCATCCTTTTCTACAAATGAATTTTTCTCCTTGGTAGAAGGGGATAGGACAATGTTTCTCAACCTTGGCAACTTTACGATGTGTGGACTTCAACTCCCAGAATTCTCCAGCTAGCAATGCTAGCTGGAGAATTTTGGGAGTTGAAGTCCACACATCGTAAAGTTGCCAGGGTTGAGAAACACTGGGATAGGAGATATTTTGAAACTGATCAATATTCACATGTAGGGGGAACTAACTTGCGTGTCTCAGGGTAAAGCCTGGCAAATAGGTAAATAAATGTAGGCTTCAGCCCTAGAGCCGGCAGAGGGGCAAATCAGTCTTCCAAAAGGTAGCAATTAAAACCGGGGCGCCGTAGAATCTCCTGCATCGGCAGTCTTGTCCATATCCTGTGCACGTTTCCTGGAAGTCGCCACGACTGGATCCAAAAATCTAATTACTGTATTGCGAAGAATTAAAGCAGCTTCAGCTGAAAACGCTTCCTCCCAAAAAGGCTTTTCGATTCCCAGTTACAGCTGCAAAGCAATACTGTAAATACTCCAGCTTCCCCTTCCCTTCGACCCAAAGCTTTCGTGATCCCTCGGCCGAAAGGCTGGAACAAGAAGAGAAGGGGGCGCTGCCTCGAGAGAGAGGTAGTCCTGCTAGCTGAAGGAAGTGCCTGTTTCCACTTCGACCTGGAAGTGAAAGGAGGTGCCGGTCGAGCGGAGGCCAACCCCGATTTGGGGGACCGATCGCTTGCCTCGGTTCTGGCATCGCCAGTGTGGCCATGTCCCAAGGAGTCAGGCCAGAAGAGGCAGAGGCAGGCAGCAGCCTCCGGAAACATCGGAGCCACAGTGAATTGCTGCCCAGTTGCAGCTCCCAGACAAACCATAAAGGGCAGGATCGGAAGGAGCAAAAGAGAAATAAGCGGATGGTGCAGCAAATTCAACAGATCCAACATCTGGAGTCCTTGTAAGCAGATCCTCTTCGCCGGTCCCTTGACTTGTTTATTTCCTCTTCTCCCCACCCCCGAGCTTTCCTATGACCGTTAGTAACACGTAAACCTGTAAGGTAACCATGATACCTTTCCTAATCCAGTGCACAACTACATCTGGGTTGTGGTTTTGAGGAGATCATCATAGGCTGAGAGACAAATTCTGTCCTTTCCACTGAATCCACATCGCTGGGTTTCACTTACCTCCTAATCAAGGTTGTCCATCTGTCTGGCACTTTCTTAAGAGGGGTCCTTGGTGCTCTCTGAGCTTTGTTTTCTTGCAGACTTTTCATTACCAAAACTAGGTAAAAACATCAGTAAGGAGTGGGGTTTACTCTCAGTTTCTTAAGAAAAAGCATGAGACTCGGATGATCAACCCCCATCCCCCCTGCAACTAGCAGCCTATTAAGGTCTTAGTGCCCATCTCAAGTTAACTATCCACTTCTGAGTTGCACACATAGGTAGAGCAGCACAGGAAAAACAGCTATTGCTGGATGATTCAGATAAGCAAAAGTGAATCATCCAGATCTACAACGGATCTAAAAAGTCTTGAAGACACCCAACAAAGAAACCTGAAAAGCTATCCCACCCCCAAAAATACCATAATCATTCACATTCTGACTATGAATCAATGGTATCCATATAGTACTACTCTGGTAGCTACTTGAAAGAGTCTTCAAACCAAGAATTATGCTAAATTATTACTGTCCATTTTTAAACTATTCATTTGTCTAGAATATTCAAAGGTATCCATATTGGCAAAAGTCACTGACCTTGTGCTAAGGAATTTTATTTCTTAATTCTATGCTGCGTGGGATAAATCTCTTTCCTGCCATTCAGTTCATTAGACCACGACTCCAGATTTTAGAGTTTTGAGAAAAAATGCCCTGCTGTCCAGTGTTTTCATACTATGCACACTTAAGTTTTATTGTTGTATTTGTTTTTTACTCATAAATCACAGTGTTCTATAACAAGAACACTCATTGTTGGCCTTATTTTATTGTTCTTTTATAAAAAGCAGGTGGGATCAATACTTTTTAAAGCAATTTTGTGGTAGAAGTGCTATGTGCCAGTTAGTTCTGGCCTGAAGTATGTGCAAATCGTTACATATTAGCTATTTGATGCATTCGGCCATTCTACTTTTGTTTTAAATTTATTTTATTAAGATATAGTACTCATTCACCCAGGAAATTCTGGCAAGCCTTTCAAATCTCATACTGGAAATAATAAATTAAGTAGGTGTAATGTGAGTAATAAACATTTTATGACTTTGTCATTTGTGCTAGTGGAAAGAAAGTTTTTTTTCTTTTGAAGGCAGCTACATTCCAAGAAAAAACCTAATATGTTTCTATCATAGTGAACAGCTTGGAGAGAACTCTTTACATGGTTGAGACTACTCTTTTTTTTTTATTCATTACAATGACACTTTCTTCAATTTTCCAAAATCGTTCATATTATTTGCCAAGTAAGGCAAATAAAAAATACTTTTAAAGAAAGTATCCTTCTGTTTTTTGTGGCAACTAAAAAGTCATCATTACTTAGTTTTTTTTTAAAAAAAGAAAAATTACTAAAGAAATATTTTCAATCTATTTTTCAGCTATGAGAAACTTCCTCCAGGGCTAATTAAGGTAGGTGAGAGGGCTATAAATAATATCTTTTTAAAGAAAATATAACAGATATAATGTAAATGTTCTTCAAATTATCACTAAATAGTCTGTGTGGTTGTTTATGCCCTGAGATCCATTTTTGTCTATAGAACTATAAGTGCTTACTTTTACATTTGAGTTTGAAGTAAAATGCATCCATCAGGTTTCATTTAAAACATCACTGGGCAACCTTTTCAATGTAAAATGCAACATTTGATTCTATATGGCATGAGAGTAACTTCAGCTGTCTGGACAGCTTCAGGTTCAAACACATACAATTAATGACATACAGTATGCATGTCCATTCAGGAGGGGACTAATAATAATCAGTATCTTGTTGAAAGTAGGTACTTTTCTGCAACCATTAGAAGCAAAAAACTAACAATATTCTGAATTGTTGCTAGTGCAAAGTGCTTCATCTTCTACTTTCCAGCAATCCTGTGTTAACAATCCCTAGTTGTTGATGAGTCAGCTTCAAGGAAGTATTAGCCCATGATTTCAAAATACTACTCTGTCTATAAAAAAAATCTTGCCCACTTATTTATCTTTATAGCTTTAATGGATTTCTTTTCCTTCTTTTGCAGGAAGATGAGACTAAACCAGAAGACTGCATTCCTGATGTACCTGGCAATGAAAATGCACGACAATTTTTAGCACATGCTCCAACCAAAGGATTATGGATGCCTTTAGGAAAAGAGGTCAAGGTTATGCAATGTAAATGGAGCATCTAAATTTTGGAGATTCTGTAATAAATGCAACAATAGGGTTAGTTGGTGAGAATAGGAGAGAAAATTTTCTTTAACAATTATCATTTTTTCCAAATGAAGATAATTAATGCTTTTTGCTTTATAATAAATATTTTTATACTGGTCTGTTTCAAAAATATTGCAGATTTAATTATTATTAATTTCATTTCTAATATGTCTTTTATCAGTACTTTCATGAATAGAATAACTTAAAATATTCATAGCATTTAGGGAAAGGAGAGACTAAAGGGCAAAGGAACGTGTACTGCCAAACCAGAAGAACTAACTTAGAAACAGTATAAATGCTCAGAATGTGCACTCGGTGCAAGCAGATGGATACGGTTGAGAGCTGGAAAATCTGTGAGGATGCAGCATGGCATGTTTATAATCAATTGATTTGTAGTCAAGAAAAGTAGGAGAGTTGAAAAAAAGCTATTGGTTACTGTTTCCTATACTGCATGCTTACTTTTAAATAAATGTGTAGGATTGTGCTATGAATATCCAATCCTATTTGAATGTGAGGAATGTGCCTAGTGCTATCACTAGGAGGAATAATCTAATTTTTTTTTGTGGGGTCTTAATTCAGCTATTTACCTGATTTTTTTTTAAACAGAAAAATATGCTGTTAGTTTTTAATGTTATGGAAATCTGACAACTCAGAGATTGGAACATATTTTTCCCATAAGAGCTTAGACCAAAGGCCAATGAGATACATCCAGGAAATTTATCTAACCACCTTTGAAAGCAATCCTTGGTAGCAGCCAGGAGCTCTGATTATAACATATTCCACAATGTTATTGAATAATTGTACATTATGGAAAAAGTTAATATTTTTACGAACTTATCAGTACAGGGATTCATAGCAATTAATTGTTGTGGATAACTTCTAACATTGCTAGAAACATCTCCATATTTTCCATGCCACACATTAATTTGTATTTTTCAGTTGTGTTGCCTAATTGTTACCTCAACTTTAAGCTAAGAAGCCCCAATTTCTTTAGCTCCTGAATCATTTTGGTCACATATCTCTAGAACTGGGAACCTAATCAAAACAAATCAGTCTTGAGGAGGACTGGTGTAAAGATACAAACGTGAACTAAGTTCTTCAGACTTTCCATATATTGCCTTTAGAAAGCAAGAAGATAGTGCTGTATAATTACATGAGGATAAATAAATAATTGGTTTTGATTTTACGATGGTGTGTGTGTGTATGTGCGCACTTTTGTAAAAAAGTTCTGGATAGAATATAATTTTTCAGTGTTAATCTCTTTCTCAAGGCTGGAGATGTAAACGATATGGACACCGAACAGGAGATAAAGAATGTCCTTTCTTCATCAAAGGCAACCAAAAATTAGAACAATTCAGAGTGGTAAGTAGTGTGAATTGTGCCATAATTTACTCTAAATGATCACATGAGAAAAATGTTAAATTAAGGCATCTGATTTTTCCTTGTTAATTCTAGATAATGTTAACATAATTCTGCAAAATATGATATGCTAATGTTAATCTTTCCTGCGGCACTTTCCTAGGAATAAAACAGAGGCAGTGTCAGCAGAGAATAAGTCGGAGTTAATTTCCTTTCTCTTGCCAGTTTGCCTTAGCCAACCACTACATGTTCAGGATCATTCCAAGACATGTTGCATTGGAAAACAAATACTAAACATATAGGTAGTTTTCTTGGGCAGAAACATTATTGATAATATGCCCTTTAACTACAATAATTGCTTATGCCAGTGGTTCTCAACCTGTGGTCCATGGATCCCTAGGGGACCGTGAAACCCTGAAGAAATATTATGATTTAAATCTTGAGTTAAATCTTGGTGGTCCATGGCCACAAAAGGTATTTAAAGGGGGTCTGTGGTAAAGAAAAATTTGAGAACCACTGGATTATGCTGTTATTCTCCTCCACTTTCTTTCCCCATCCAGCATTTGGGAATACTGTATGCCTTGCATCAAAATCCACAAAAGGGAAAATGAAGATATTTTATTGGGACTAGGTATGCTTTAAAACAAATTCAGAAGAAAGGCTTCAAACCTCATGTAGAGCAGCAAATTTCCAAAAAATTCTTGGGCTGTTTAATTGAATTTCAAAGAAGTATAATGCTTCTGTAATTCCTGAAGCACTTTGAATTACTTTAAAAGCAAAGGCGGTCCCATTATTTATGTACTATTTATTTCAATGTTCATCCTCAAATAAGCCTATGCAAATAAATCCACTGCATTTTATACAGATTCCATACCTAGAAACCGAGATGGCAAATCATATTAAACGCAAGTGATTAGATAAGTATCTATTTATAAAGTGTTAGGCTATTTATGCATTTAGAATTGATGTACACATTAGAGATATAAATTCTCTATCCAGTCATTTTGAACTAACTGCAAGCTGGAAAATGCAAGTAAACATTTGACAATTAATCATATAAAAATATTGCAGCTGTTAACTTTGCTTTGAATTTCACTCTTTTACATCCTTACATTTCAGTTTTGGTATTTATAGTTTTAAAATTTAGGAATAATGCTGAAAATGACACATTTGGGGTTTTTTTTTTTTGGGTTGTCCATGATGGTCTAAGATCTGACTCCAAAACAGGAGTTCAAAGAAGGATAGGTACAATTGTATAATAGGAAAAGGGTTTAATAAACTATTAATGCATATAAAGGAGACAGGATTTGAATTTTATCAAACTGAAATTTTTTACCTGAACTAATCCTTTGATTGGGAGCTATTAAGATGATTCATAAGTTATATTTTACACCTAAGATAGCCATACAATCTGTCCCTAACAACCTGCATGAAGCAAAAGAGTGTAGAGATAAAAAAAAATCACTGCATGGGACCACTCTCCAAAATAGGCTGACAAAATTGTTTTGCTTGTGTCCATAGACTGATGGGGAGGACGTGATAGGCAGCCTTGACTAGCAATCTATACCATGCTATTTTGAGAACTCCAGAACTTCTGCAAAAGTTGCCAGTGACTCTTTCCAACAACATTTGGTAATGTGGTTTGCCATCACAATTTGGGTCAGTAGGGTTAGAAGTTTTAATGTTTCCTCATCTTTGTTAACACTTGTTATGTTTGTATCCCATCCACAGCACCCTACATGGGATTCAAGTGACAATCTTCATCAGGAAAAAGGTTGCCACTCCTGTGTAGGAAATGCCATTGATTTTATTGTACAGACCTTCTAATAAGCCCTTCAGATATATTTGGATTACAGTCCCGGGATTTTCAAGGGAATTTTAATCCAACTCCATCTGGAGGGCATCATGTTGAAAATTTAAAAAGTTGTAAGAATTTTGGTTGGACATGAAGCTTTCTTTCCTCTCTAAGGCACATGAAGACCCCATGTATGATATAATAAGAGAAAATAAACGCTATGAAAAAGATATGAGGTAAGTTTAGATCTCTTTTAAACAATTATGATGAAAATGATGATAGCAATACTTCACAAATTTCCAAATATTTTATGACCATTATAAGAAAGCTTAGTAATATAATCCCCAAGTTTGAAGCTGAGAGATGGTGACTTGCCAGAGTGAGAATGCCCTGTGAGATATGAATCAAGAAAATTGCCAGCCATCTGTTATGACAACTACTTCATTTCACATGTTTTCGGCAGAGAAAAAAACAATGACTTCTTAATTATAAAGAACCTCTTTTACTTCTAATGTAATAGTTGCTAAGTTTTTGTTTTAATGTGATATCCAAATGAAATGAAACCTGCCCAAGCAAATAACATTTGACATTGCCTTTTAATGCACTTAGGATAGAACAATTAAAACGGTTGCTGGAAGACTCCACATCAGATGAAGATAGCAGCAGTGACAGTTCCAGTCCCTCGGGGAGTCAGGTGAAGCACAAGAAGAAGAAAAAGAAAAAAGAAAAGAAGAAAAAAAAGAAAAAGAGAAAACACCGGTCTTCTAAATCAAGCAAGAAGTCTGAATCAGATTGAGATGGTTGCCTTTGTGTCAATAAGATGTAAAAGATCCAAAGAACATTCCTTTATTTCTGTTTTATCTGCATGCTCTACCTTTCTTGTGTTGGAAAATAACAACAAAAAACCCCAAGAAAGGTTATTTTGTATCTGTGTGAGATGCTGCTAAAAAAACGTGCTTCTATGTACACACCGACATGAATGCATGCACAGATTCTTTTTAACTATTTTTGTAAAAGGTCCCTCCGCCCTTTTTTTAGCTACTAAAACTTTAACAATCAGTGTAGGAAAGGGAAAACCATCAATAGGAAAGTTCCAAAAATAACTCCCAAGATTACACAAATATCTTTTCATCAAAACTTGGTAACATTTAGCCAAAAGTATCCCTTTAGTAGCATATCACCAAAGTGTTTGCAGTATGGCAGAAGTCCCAGCCTTTACTGAAGGAAGCCTAATGGACAATATGCAAAGGCAAATGAATGGCAAAGGGGCTGGGTATGGGCTTCACCCTTAACTGCCTCCATCTAAACTTTGCTCTAAAAGTGGCTTTCTATAAAGGGATGAAGCACAATACAACTATCATTATCTACCACAATACAAGAATATATTTTATAACTTATTTTCAGATGTACTTTATTGTAAAGCTGCATAATTTATCACCCATCCTCCAGCTGCATCTGACATAATAGGAATGGCTCCACAGAATTCTATAAGATTAGAAATAGAGTCTGGGGAATTGTAAAACAATCTTTAGATCACACATTTTGAAGATCCAGTTTTACTGATAATAAAGCACACATAAATACAACTTATTTTTAAATGTCCATTTCCTTACCAATTCCTAGAAAAGTGCTTGAAAAATTAAAAAATGTTTTTTGTCAAGTAACCATGCATGTTGTGTTGCTTTTTGACGGTGGAGAACATTCAGGAAATGGTTAAAAATTGATTACATTATATTATGGCACTCTAAGTTTGATTTTTTCTTAGACAGAAAAACAATATTGGAAGGATAGGCGTATTAATTGTGGCATATTTGTTCTGCCCAATAAAATAACTGTTTATTCATCTGTATTACTTTTTATTTAATTAAAAAGTAATAAAAAAACTATAATTTTGGATCAAAATCTTAGATAGCTGTGATGTAGAGCAAAGAAAAACATTTTTGTTGCATCGGCACTTTGTCATCAAAACTGTAGCATGCTGGTTCCTTTAGATGAGGGGTGTCAAACTGTCGGCCCGCGGGCCAGATGCATCAAAGCGAAACCTCGCCCACCCTATTGCCAGCTATGGCAAAAAAAGTCACGATATATTGCAACACATCACGTGACATTGCCAGTTTGACACCCCTGCTTTAGATGGCTGAATGCAAAATACCTGGCTTCATCTACACCTGTTCATGTCTTCATCTCTTCCCATTTATCAAGGACTGAAAGCTTAATTATCTTTGAAAGCAAAGGATTGATAGGGAGTATAAAGCAATTTGAGCCATTATTTTCAATAACAGTTTGTAATACTAAGGATTAGCTGGATAACGAGTCATTATCATGCACATAAACTCAACCCGACACCTCCATTTTAATCTGTTTATTCTGCAGCATGTTCCATAAATAGAGCTAGCTAGAATCATCCTTAGAATGGAGATGTAGAAAAAGAATGAATCTGATTCAAGGCTTCCTATTCTATTGTCTGTTGCTGAAGCGGAATAATGAAGACTTTGTGCCCTTTTAAGCATGAAAATTGTTCAGTTCCATTTAAGAAAATACATCGATATGTTCATCCATAATATAGCCTTAGTTATGCTAAGACGACACTATAGCATAACTTCTTTTAATGTGGGAATTACAATTCTACTAGGATGTACTCTGACCGAATACTAAATTGCATCCAATTAAAGTTAAATATATTTTATGAAATTTCCTCCTATGAAATTTTCTAACTGCCATGTTAAAAATTACAATTTAAAGGCAACTTAAATTCTGAGACTACATTCAAATCTACAGGGTCTGCATATTTCTTTAAAGCCTTGGTTTATGCAACCATGATGTGAGTTTTATTTAGATAGAGTCTATAGTTTATCTTATTTAAAAGAAATTATCTTGGTGTCCCTTCAGGATCACTGCAGAAAAAAGTAGGGAGCATTGTTTCTCAAAACTTGATATTATTTAAAGTTAATGCTTTTTAAACTAAATTGTGATTCCTACTGACCTTTATATTTCTCAGATGATGCTTTATCCATTCTTTGAGAATAAGTTTTACATTAGAAATTCTTCACACATCCTATTAGTGCAATTTCAATTTTATTTAAACATTGTGTGAAATGTGTGTGTCCAAATTCATTTTTTTGGACATTTTACAATGTGAACTCAGGAATCCTTAAACTGATTTGCTTCAAAAAAAAAATACGATTCCTTTAAACAATACAAGCAAATATTTGCACTTCCATAATGCTGATTATCATTGTCTTCTTTTATTTTTTATAGGGTGGTTTCTTTGGTTCACACCCTGCACAAAAGGAAAACATAATATTAGACAACACAGCTCTTTTTAATAAAAAATAGTTTGCAAATGGATAATATTCAGGGCTGTTGAGAATAACCATATGCAAATTTGTCTGCCAAGTTTTAAAGCTTCTACAAACCACTACAGTATAACCATTACGAAGGAACATCTTAACTAGGTAGGATGATAAAGCATTTCAAATATTTAAAATATCTACATGGCATACACCTAGCATAATAAGTTTATATTACTTATGAACAAATCTATATAAGAAAAAGCCATATATGAATAGCATTCAAATACTGCCCAGCTGGTAAAAATTAGGACATCATGGAACTTAAATAAGTTAGAGGCACGAAGTGAAAAGATTGGGATCCAGCCTAAGATTCTTTTAAGATTTTTCTTTAAAGTGTGGAGAATTCAGACCTATAACCTTCAGTGTGATTTGTCTGAGACAAATCTTTCTGTATGACAGCTGAACAGGTAATAATTATAGATACTAGAACAGTGCACAGCAACACAAAGCAATCAGTGTAACTACCTAGTAAAATGTGTGCCAAAGATACAAACATCCTGACTATATCTTAGGAAAAGCCCACTTGGGTATTCAGTCTCAAATGCTGTTAATACTTGTTGTACTATAGCAGTCCGTGGTAGTGGACATAAGCAGGCATGATGCTCAGCAATATATGAGAGTGTCAGATTTTTCTAAGGATAAACAGTTTAGATCAAACAGGAATCTTCCTTGGCACTTCAGCTAGACTTAAGTTGTATAAAGGATGCAAATAACCTGTTATCTTTCCTTGGCAAGGCTGTGTATGTATTGCATACAGAGGTATTTCACTGACTATATAGTCAATACAATTGATATTTTACTAATTATGATCTATGTTTTTATTATACACATCTTTCAAAGAGGAGCAGAAACATCCTATGCAAAAAATATTCCATTGTGGTTTTCCAGTTCTGTGAACCCACAATTTTCATTTGTAGCACTAGTTCTAAAATTCCTATGTGCTGAATATTATTGGACTTCCATATATTGCTTAGAGCATTCAAATAGAAATGATTTGAAAAGTGAATTTAAGAGTTTATCTCTTTATTACTAGATAGCTTGGTGACATAATGCACTTACCCTTGTGATACATAGTTTTAGGTTTCTCCCGTTCTTCAGCAGTTTCACACCTTGTGTCTCTGCGTTTATGAGGAGGCTTATGCCCTCCTTTCTTCTTTGGACAGTCCATATACATATCATCAGAAGCAAAAGGGAATACTTCCAGGATATCTGTTACAAATGAAATAATTTTATTCATTCATTTTATTTACTCTGCGCCTAAAACTTAATCCCTTCTATCATTTCCCATTTTTAAGTTACTTTGCTTGCGAAGACATCTGTACCGCACACCTCATTCTTTAAGAATGGCTTTTCAAATTCACTATACAAGATAACAGATATTTTCTCAGGATATGCACGAGCAGCTAGAGAATTGTGACTGGCTGAGATTCCCAATTGAGTTTTACACGATATCCAAAATTCATGTTTGATCTGAGCAGCATTGAAATTGCTTTATGTATAATACCTCAGCATTCAAATGAACTTGCCTTTTTTTTTTGCTTGCACAAATTGCCACTTTGCTTTAAAATGTGGAATCAATTGCCACTGAGTTAAAGAAAAATAGTTGAAGTCATGTTAATAAATAGATGAATGCAGTACATTTTTATTTTAAACAATAGACCATACCTTTCTCTTTTGTAGCAGTAGGTGAGAGATCACCAGGTTTTAGGCTGGCAGATCTAGGTCTAGCACCACTTTTCATCCAGTATTCATCAGGTCCAGTCCTTCTATTTTCGTCTTGTAACCATCCTGATCAACACATATAAGATATATAAAGTTCACTTCTTTGCTACATATCTGGTTAGTAATTGGTAAAGCAAAATGGCTCAACAATCCTAATAGAATTCCAATATGTCCATTGGTTTAACTGCAGACTATGAATATATTCAGGTGTACATATGTGCACACATAGATCAGCCTGGATACTAATATGGACTATGCTATTTTCAACTCTCCATCAAGGAACATCCAGACTGTAGTCACTCAATATTCTATCATTAAAAAAAGTTTAACTGTGTACAAGAATGTCAGAGTAAAAGGTACATATGAGAAAAAGAATTTGAAATACATAAACTACAGCATTTCAGAGAGATAGGCATTCAAGTAGCTATGTATAAAATTCTTGATATACAGCTTATTTCCAAAAAAAGCCTGCAAATCCCCAAAAATAATCTATCTTCCTCTCCCTCCTCTGCTTGACTTATAAAGACTTATAAATTAGAAAATGAAGTTTTGCAAAAAAAAAAAAAAATAGATGGACATCTGTTTCAGTTTTCTATTTACCTGAACATTTCTGTAGATTTTTTCTGTGATCAAGTAATTCTAGCTGTTGGGCTGTAGGTCTCACCAAGCAGATGTTATAATCATCACAGAGATCTTCATCTTGCTCCTTCTGCAATTTAGTAGGCAACCCAGACATTTTTTCTTGCACAGGCCAGTTAATTACATGTGGTGGCACTGCATTTTTGGGGATTCTCCAAAATACTTGCTGGGAAGTCTGTTGGCCCAATCCAATTTTGTCTGAATTCAGGATTTCATATGGCATATCTTCTTCAACAAAATATTCCTCATCAGTTTCTTCTTCTTCATATTCCTCTGGTTCCATCACCCAATATTCTTCAGATTCATCAGCATCTGATGGAGATGAATTTGTTATTTTTTGGAGACAATAGAGATGCTTGTCACTGGAACATCTTGGAAGAATGCTCACCTTTTTGATTTGGCTAGGATTCTCTCTAATCTTGACTCTTGAACCACTCTTCAGATTTTGATTTTGCTCACTAGTGACCTGTTCAATCCCCATCACTTCCTCATCTTCATTGAGGGTGCCTCCACTTCTTATATCATCTATTCCCAAGCCATCAGCATTTTTCTTGAAGGTATATAAAGTCTTTGGAAGCAAATAGTCTGGGACTATGACAGACACTGAAGAATTCTCAGTTGATGAGCCTTCTTCAATAGAAGACATATCATCAGAGGTAATACTGAACAAATTTGGACGCTTTCTTCGGAAAAGATATTTTTCATAGTTATAGTTTGGATCCATGTTATCCACACAAGCCAACCAGCTCTCAGAAGGAAGATATTTTTCAGAGTCATCACACCATTGGATTTTTTCTGAAGCACTCCAGTTTTCATTGCTCATATCATTACATTCACTCAACTTCTGAGGCAAATATGCATCATTTGTCATCTCCATGCCAGAGGGATATAATTTCTGTTGTCGAATATGATTTGAAACCTCTTGTGGAGCTTTTGAACCACCTGATTTTTTAAAACCAGGAGGTATTTTGGCCATCAGTACATCCTGCCTTATCCCTGAGTAGTCAGGCCCAGTTGGTTCAGCCAGTTGGACTGTTCCAGCTTCATCCATTGGACCCTTTGCTCTGTAGTTTATAACTCCTTGTTTTTCTGAATCTTGATTTTCTTTACATAGAGGCTGTTTCCTCTGCATGTCCTCAGGAACCTTTTGCTCCTCTGAAAATGGAACATATGGAAGCAATTCTCCTTGTTCGCGAGGCCCATATGCAACTCCTTCACAGGAGCTACGAGCAAGCATATCTCTTTGCACAATATTCTTTGGGACTTTTTTCTGTGCCATCTCATAGAGAGGGATTGTTTCTTTGAAAGACTTCCATAGCTGGATGGCAGGAGCACCATCATTTGCATATTGTATTCTAACTTCCTCTTTCTCAATGGCATAGCCTGTTGGGGGAAGACTTCGAAATGGTACAAGACCTGAAGAGTTCTTGGCAACTTCCCTGTCTGACACAGAAGATGTTTTATCTGTTTTTTCTAACAAACTTTCAGTTTCTTTAGGCGTATCAGATGCGATATAAGCAGTATTTCCAGCATCACAGCCTTTTGTTCCTGTATCTTGTTCCACAGATGTTTTTGCTCCACTTTCAGATTCTCCAAAATCAGTTTGAGTTTCTTTGTCCTCTGTTCTTTTCACTGGGTTTTGTGGTTGATACATCATGGGAAATCCATGCCTGAACCGTGGGACTTGATACACCATGGGTGATGGTGGAGGACCACCAAAATAAGGTCTTCTAATTCTCATATGCATAGGAGGCTGTGGAACTAAATATCCAGGATATTCATGGGCAGGAACTGAGTAACATTGGAAATATGGATTGCTACTTCTTAAACCTGAGAACAAAACCAAAATACATTATATCATTGGCTTCTAATTTTAGATCTTCAGCAAGGCTAAACATGCAATCAGACTAATCCAAAAAATTCAGCAAAGCCCCTCAAAATATAAAATATATGTATCTATGGTGATTTAGCAGCATCAACAGGCTTCCTAGGTATCCTATAAACTTACTGCAACAGAATAAAACAATAATTCTATTAGTGGAGTTTTAATTAAGCACCCCCCAATTTAGTTGCTGCAACAAAATAAACCAATATTTCTAAGCTCATTGTTTTTGGATATCTAACTAATTAATAGCTCTGTGCCTTTGGAAATGACTCATTTTACACTATTTTTGGGTCCAAGATTATAGTTATGCCAATAGAAATGAATATTTGTTGCTCTCCAAACTTTGTTATTTTCTTCCAGACATTTCATTACTCAACTAGCAAACATCATCAGTGCTAAAACTGCTGGTGACCTTCTACCATTGCTCCATAGAGAGCATTCTAACTTATGCATTTCTGTGGAATTTGCCAACTGCACAGCAGCAGATAGGAAAGTGCTCCAGAGAGTCATTACCATTGCCCAGAGGATTATTGACTGCCCTCTCCTCCCCTCACCCCAGACGAACTGTACAGTTCCCACTGTCTTAGGAAAGCTCAAAACATTCTTAAAGACTCATCTCATCCAGGACATTCTTTTTTTTTTTTTTGAACTATTATCATCTGGCAGATGGTGCGGGATAATAAAAATAAAGAAATAGGCTGAAAAATAGTTTTTATCCCAGAGCTGTAACCATATTAAATACTACTGTATAGTGCAACATTGAAGTGCAATATTAGGGACAGCGCAGTGGTGAATAGAATGTGAAGGATATGTGTATATAATGTATGTTTTTACTTGTGGTTTTTACTTGTGTATAGTATACACTGGGCAGCACTTAATTTCATTGTGAAATATACAATGATGATATTCTATTCTAAAAGTGCTAAAAGCGTTTGAGCTAACAGTAAACAGCCTAATCAAGGAACCACCAAAAACTTTCTTTCCAACATGGACAGCGCAAATCACTTGTATTTAAACAAAGAGCAAACCGTGCCGATGATATTCCCTAGTTGGGTATTGAAATGTCTGCAAGAAAACAACTAAACTCAGAGATAACCAAGGATGTCACAGGTACAGTTATATTTAGCTCAGCAAGGCATGAAGTGAAAACATGTAGTACATGCAAAATTTCAGTGCAGCTCAGTGACTATTACTGAAAAAAAGTTATAATTTACAGGTAAAGGAGGTTGACAGTTTAGTATAATTTTGGAAGTGAGTAAGCAGAAGTCAGAAGACTATGGCTGACAATATCTTTTGCTATTAATTATATTTGTTATGCTTTCTGTCCTTGAGAGATCTTGAAAAACAGGGCTATTATAGATCTGGCTAGTATTTGTATGGAAATATCCATGAAATACAAGAGCTATAGGCTATACTAGGAAGGTTAAAAAAGGTTTAAAAAGCAAATAGAGCCAAAAGAACTCAACTAAAGCTGCTAGAAGCTGTGTTGGACTTGAAGGAGATACTTTTTATATTAGTGTCTAATTGCAGTAACAAGCAGATCTTAATCACATTTATTTGGAAACAGAACTCATTGTTGTCAATGGCATAATTTATAGCTAAACAAACTAAAGTTTACAAGCTAATTAAATGCAATTGAAATAAATTGTATTTAAGTTAATTATGCTAAATAAAACTATTTATTTGCCTTAGGAGCAACCAAGCAGAAATTATGAAATTTCCTATTTGTTGCTATATGCTTTGAAAGTTTCATTCACTGAAAACTAAAATATTATAAAGCTGTTAAGCAGAGTTATAATGAAGGTATTGATGATTAGGGTACTTCTTTATAGTATACTATAAAATGTACTACAAAACATTAGAACTATGATCCTATTCTGAGTATTAATAGTAACATTCCAGACAGATTACCCTGGTTCAATACACATAATGTATTTTGCTATTTCCGGTATTACAGAAAATAAGGTTTAAGGCAAATTTCAATGTCTGAAAAGAATGCTTAACAGATTCTGACTGAATGCATGAACAAATTATAGGTAAAATTTGCTGGTATCATTTCTGCCTCATTAGCCTTTAAATCTTTGCTGCTTGCTATGCCCTTCCTTAAGCATTTTTTTTTAGTCTTTTTTTTAGAACATTCATTTTTTGTCAAAGAGCCTATAAGGTTAAGAGCACTACTGCTAAAATCCAGAACAACAGATGAAACCCTAACAGAGATATTAATAAATTAGCAGTTTAGCTGCAGCTCTTTGTTTGACCAAATAGAGAAAACATTGATTTTTCTAGTAAATTTCTCACTTCTTTTGTTTCCTGTTCAGAGTTGGCGAATAACCCCTCCCCCCCCCAAGTTTATCATTGTATGTCAGAACATTGTGCTGTATAGATTCTCTTACCGGATGTAGGCATGCCATAGGGATTGTACATAGGTCCAACGAGCCATGGATTAGGGAATGGCTGAGGTGCTGTAGGCTGAGCATAAAAAAAAGGCCTTGGGTTTGTAGAATAAGGTCTGCTTTCTGAGGTTGGAGGAACATTCATTTTCTAAGCTTGAAACAGAAAGCAAATATAAAATTTAAAAGGCATAAATGCTAGACAAGACAGTTGATGGTGTAGCTTATCTAGGAATAAGGACATTATGAAGATATCCTGATAAAAATAAAAAATTAAATTTAAACATATCACTACTGCACACATTTTTTTCCATTTTGTTAGTAAGTATTTGCTTGAGGCTGCTATCTAGGGATCCTTGTCCAAAAATGTTCATGTATATCTGCCTCTACATTTGGAAAAAGAATAGGAACAGTTTGGAATGTTTAAAGAAACTCTAAGACTTATGTGTTGACAAGGGAAAATTCCACAAGGAGATGTCAGGTTATGAAGTTATCAGCTATATAAAGTTATGTAGTCCCACATATTTGGTGAACCTTACCCCATCAGGATCTTGCAAAATCAGACAAACCACATTATAACTAGTGATTGTCGCCATATTACCTATCACAGTTGTACAGCCTGGGATTTTAAATTAGCTCTGCTCAGTTACAGAATAAAACAGTGGTGTCTATTAATGGAGTTTTAAATAAGCACCCTGTATTCAATTGCTGCGACAGAATAAACCAACATTTCTAATACTGCGATTTTAAACACCCCCAATTTAGTTGCTGCAACAGAATAAAAACAATGCTATTGATGACATTTTAAAGCAAGCACCCCCAATTTAATGGCAGCCCACAGAATGAACTAAAATCTCTGTTACTGGGATTTTAAAACAAGCAGCACCAATTTCTTTGCTGCAACAGAATAAATCAATTTCTAATATTTAGATTTTAAAGCAAGTACCCCCAATGTAATTGTTGCAACAGAATGAAATGATGATTCAATTAATGGAGTTTTAAACAACCACACCCCAAATTCAGTTGTTGCAACAAAATAAACATTTCTATTACCGAGATTTTAAACAAAGCACCCCCAATTGAGTTGCTGCAATAGGATAAAACATTGTTATTAGTGGCATTTTAAAGCAAGCACCCCCAATTTCATGGCACAAAATGAACCAAAATTTCTATTACTGTGATTTTAAAACAAGCAGCCCCAACTGAGTTGCTGAAGCAGAATAAACCAACATTTCTAATACTGGAATTTTAAAGCAAGCCCCACCATTTATTTATAAAACTACATTTTTATTAATAGAATTTGAAAACAAGCAGTTCCAATTTAGTTGCTGCAACAGAATAAAACAATATTGCTATTAGTGGCATATTAAAGCAAGCAGCTCCAGTTGAGTCATTGGAACAGAAAAAAGCATTGCTATTAGTAGCATTTTAAATCAAGTATCCCCAATTTTGTGACAGCCCACAGAATGAACCAATATTTTTATTACTGAGATTTTAAAACAAGCACCTCCAATTTCGTTGCTGCAACAGAATAAATCAACATTTCTAATATTGGAATTTTAAAGCAAGCCCCACTATTTACTTATAGGAAAAAAAATTAAACTAATTTTTTATTAGTGGAATTTCAAAGCAAGCAGCTGCAACTGATTGCTGCAACAGAATAAACTAATTTTATTAGTGGCATTTAAAGTGAGAACCCCAAATTTCATAGTGACCCACATAATTAACCAAAATTTCTATCATTGGGACTTTAAAGCAAGCACCCTCAATTTAGTTGCTGTAACAGAACGAACCAATATTCTTATAGTGAGATTTTAAAGCAAGCACCCCAAGTTATTTGTAGCCAACAAAATAAGACTAAATTTTTATTACTGGGATTTTAAAGATTTTAAAGCCCAATTAGTTGCAGCCAATAGAGTAAAACAACACATCTAATACTGGGATTTTAAAGCAAGCAGCCCAATTTACTTATATCCAACAAAATAAAATATTTCTATTAGTGGCAATTTAAAACAAGCATCACCAATTTAGTTGCTGTAACAGAATAAACCAAGATTTTTATTCCTGGGATTTTAAAGCAAGAAATCCCAATTTAGTTGCAGTCAACAGAGAAACTAACATTTTTATTAATGGGAGTTGAAAGAGCAACCCCAATTTACTTATAGCCAACAAAAAATTCTATTATTGGGACTTTAATGCAAGCAAGCCCAATTAAGTTGCAACAGCAGAATAAAATAATGTTTCTATTAGTGGACTTTTAAATAAGCACCCCAAATTCAGTTGTTGCAACAGAATAAACCAACACTTCTAATACTAGGATTTTAAAGCAAGCACCCCCAAATTAATTGTAACCAACAAAATAAAACATTTTTATTACTGGGATTTAAAAGAAGGAAAGCCCAACTTAGTCACAGTCAACAGCATAAAACATGTCTAATTTTTTAAAGCAAGCAGTCCCATTTACTTATATCCAACAAAAGAAAACAACATTTCTATTACTGGGATTAAAGCAGGCACCCCCAATTTACTTTCTGTAACAGAATAAAATGTTTTTGTAATTGATGTTTTACAGCAAGCCACCATTTATTTAAAGCCAACAAAATAAATCTACATTTTTATTAATGGGATTTGAAAAGCAAGCACCCCCAATTTAATTCCTGCAACACAAAATATTTTTATTAGTGAAATTTTAAAGCAAGCACTCCTAATTTAATGGCTACTCAGAATGTAGGGAAATGTCTTTACTGGGTATTAAAGCAACAGACTCCAATTTAATTGCAGCCAACAGAATAAACCATAATTTCTATTATCAGAATTTTTAAAAAAGCACTCCCAATTTAATTTGAGAGAACAGAATAAGCCATCATTTCTATTACTAGAATTTTAAGGCAATCAACCCCAATTTAGATCCTGCATTTTTATAAAGTGGGATTTCAAAGCAAGCACTCCCAGTTTACTTATAGCCAACAAAATAAAGCAACATTTCTGTTGTTGGGATTTTAACGTAAGCAAGCCCAATGCAGTTGCAGCAACAGAATAAAACAATGTTTCTATTAGTTATAAATAAGCACTTCCAATTCAGTTGCTGCAACAGAATAAAGCAAGATTTCTTATACTGGAATTTAAAAGCAAGAACCCCCATTTACCTAAGGCCAACAAAACAAAACAACATTTCTATTACTGGGATTTTACAGCAAGCCCCCCCCCCATTTAGTTGCTGCAACAGAATAAACCAACAATTTTATTAGTGGCATTTTAAAGCCAGCATCCTCAATTTCCTGGTAGCCCACAGAATGAACCAATTTAGTTGCAACCAAAAAATAAAGCAAGACATTTAATATTGGGATATAAAAAGAAGCATCCCCATTTACTTATAGCCAACAAAATAAAACTACATTTGTATTGCTCTAGTTTAGTTGCAGCCAACAGAATAAACTATGATTTCCATTACTGGAATTTTAAAAGAAGCACTCCCAATTTAATTTCAGCCAACATAATAAACTAATTTTTATTATTGGGAATTTAAAGCAAGCAACCCCAATTTTGTTAACCAACCGAATAAAGCAAGATTTCTATTACTGTGAGTTTAAGTCAAGCCCCCCCCATGTTGTGGCCAACAGAGTAAACTACATTTCCACTACTGGGATTTTTAAAACAAGCACACACTGACTTTAATGAGTTGGGGGGTGGGTCAGCTGGCTAGGTTGTTCGCTTTGAAATCTCTGAATGTTGCAACCAACATAGTAAACTATATAGAATAATATCTTGGATTTATAGTTCTCAATTAGTACTGTATACACAATGCCATTGTTTATAAAAGCATTGCAAAGAAAAAGCAAATGTTTGTTTTATAAGGGATCAAAACTTTTCAACACCACATAGAAATAATAATAAAACAGAGAATCTTTTGAAGTAAGGAGCCATTCTCAAAAGCTAATCAAATATTTATTTTAAAAAACCCTTCCTCCCTTCCACCTTTTAAACTAGGCATTTCTACTTGCAAATAGCTCTCAAACCTTGAACAGAAGCTCTTCTACAGTATTGTTGACTCCAACCAAAGACACAAGCTGCTACTGGGTTGACAACAGCCCAGCAAATGAACTAAATGAAAAGAGCCCTCATCTTTCTTAATAAGCACAGGTCTTCCATACACAGCTGAAACTCATTCTTACAATTTTCTCATAATTAGCTTACTGCTTGTTTCTATGTGGAGTATCAGCATACCTATTTACATAGAGCCTATAGTGATTAGGTTGAACTTTAGAATATTGCATAAAGTAGGAGAATATGGAATATAGAATTACTTTTTGTTATCTTTTAAATTCAAGCTTAATCTCAATCGCTGGTCTATACATTACTATATAAAGAGCTTGGTTTGTACACTAAACTAAACTAAACTAAACTAAACAACTAAATTAAACTAAACTAAACTAAAGCAAATTATATTTTTCAAAGGTACAAGTGACCTCCTTTCCATAATGCCAATACCAATTTGTGTTCCTCTCTTCTTTAAAAAAATATTGTGGATTGGGCTCAGAAGGAAAACACAACGGTTGTACTGGTCTTTTTTAACCAGATGGAGAATCTAAGAACATTCTAGCTTAGTGGTGGCGAACCTATGGCACGGGTGCCAGAGGCGCCACTCAGAGCCCTCTCTGTGGGCACACGCGCCGTCGCCCCAGTCCTAGGCCTTCAGCTGGGTTTTATAAAACCTTTTCACTTTAGGCCTCCACCACCGTGTAAAAAAAAAAAAAGGTTCAATCAGTCAATTTCAACTTCTCGCGGGGAAAAAAAAGATCTTGCAAAGTTGGAATTGATTGATTGAATTTTTTAGTCCCACCCAGTCTGCTGTTACCACCGCACCCATGCCCACCCAATGGACCACACCCACCCAATGGCCACACCCACCCGGCACCCAACGATGCATAAGTGGGTTTTGGGTTGCAGTTTGGGCACTCAGTGTCTAAAAGGTTTGCCATCACTATTCTAGCTTATGTTTTTTTATTTTAATATACTCATTTCTTTCCACGGATGGTATTATATGTGGAATGTGGTGATTAAAGTGTTGGCCGGGGACCAGGAGTTTCAGGGCTTGGAAAATTCTTAGTCACTATCTCTTTGATCAACCTACATAATAGAACTGATTTGATGAGCAG